GCCGCCGCAGTCGCAGCCTTCGCAGCAGCCGCAGCAGCCGTCGCAGACGCGGCAGACGAGTGTCCTCCCGCCCGGGTGGCCCGGCGCTGGCGGTGGCCGGGCGCGTGGTGGTGTGCCGAGTGGTGGCTCTGGTGGCGGGCGTTGTCAGTACCAGATCCAGACCGGTCCTCGCCGCGGTTTCGTTTGCGGTAGGCTCGGTCACTCCACTCCCCGCTGTTTTCGTCACCTGGACGACCTTTTTCGTCAGCGCTTCGGCCCGTCGCCAGACCTCCCGGACTGGCACAGTTTGCTTAGTCGTAAGATTCAGATTTTTGATATGGACATGGATTCCATTGTTGCTGCTCTGCATGTGATGTATGCTGATGACTCTAGTGTGGTTCCCGCTTATTACTCACTGTTGCCTAGTGTAGGTGTGCCTAGCTTAGCCTCCCCTGCTGCGTCAGGCGTAGGATCCCCTGCTTTGTGTAGTCTTGGTGCTTCCGCCGTCGTTCCGTTGCCAGACGCTTCTGCTTCGCTTTCCTTCACCTTGGACTCTGGCGCTTCTCGGTGTTTCTTCCGCGACTGTACCACCCTGACGCCGCTTCCTGTCCCAGCTGCCGTCTCTCTTGCTGACCCCTCCGGCGGTCCGGTCGTCGCCCGCAGTTCCACCACCCTTCCCTGTCCGGCGGTTCCTTTGGGCTCTCTCACAGGTCTGCATATCCCCTCGTTCTCCAGGAACCTAGTTGGTGTCGGCTGCCTCCAGGACCTTGGCGTCACCACTACGTTCCCTGGTCACGAGCGGTATGCTGTCTGTACCGAGGCCGCCACCGGTGCCCCCCTGTCCACGTTCCCCCGGGATCCGGTGTCCGGCCTGTTCACTCTGGACACCGTGACCCCCCCGGCTGGGGCGCCTCCTCAAGTGGCTGCGTCTACCCAGGTTGCTGCTGCCTGCTCCTGTCGGTCCCTCACTCACCCGACTCTCCTTTGGCACCACCGCCTAGGTCACCCTGCGCTCCCGCGTCTGCGTCACATGTCCCAGCACGGTCTTGTCCTTGGTCTCCCAGGTTCCCTCCCCGCGTTTCCCTCCTCCCCCGCCCCACCTTGCACGCCTTGTGTTGAGGGTCGGCTTCGCCGTGCCCCGCACTCCTCCTCGTTTCCCCCTACCGCCGCGCCGCTGCAGACCCTGCACCTGGACGTCTGGGGCCCCGCCCCCGTCCCTGGGCCGCGTCGAGAGCGCTACTTCCTTGTGCTTGTCGACGACTTCACTCGTTACACCACCGTCTTTCCCCTGGAGCGCAAGGCCGACGTGCCTAGCGCTCTCATCCCCTGGCTTGTCTCTGCGCGTGTCCACCGCGGTCTCCCTGTCTTGCGTCTTCACTCCGACCGTGGTGGCGAGTTTGCCTCAGGTGTCCTTGGTCGCTTTTGTCGTGCGGAGGGCATCACCCAGACGTTCACCCTACCGGACTCCCCACAGCAGCATGGGGTCGCTGAGCGACGCATGGGTTTGGTCATGGAGGTGGCTCGCACCTCCATGATCCATGCCGGTGCACCCCATTTTCTGTGGCCATTCGCTGTGCGCTACGCTTCTCACCAGCTTAACTTGTGGCCGCACCCTCAGCAGCCGCAGGTTTCGCCGACTCGTCTTTGGACTGGGTCTCCTGGTGACGCGTCTGCGTTCCACGTCTGGGGCTGCCTTGCTCACGTCCGTGCCTCCGGCACGGACAAGCTCACTGCCCGCACCCATCCCTGCGTCTTCCTTGGTTTTCCCCTTGACGCGTCCGACTAGCACTTTTACCACCCGCCGTCTCACCGCTTCTTTCACTCTCGTGACGTCACCTTTGACGAGTCCACCTCCTACTACCGTCGCTTCCCCCACCGTGGTCCCCCGGTTACCCCCCCCCTATTCCTGGTCACTCCTTCCCCGGTAGTCCCTGCCCCTCCTCCTCCTCCTCCCCGTCCCGCCCCCTCTGGTGTGTCCCACGTCACCCCCCTTCCGTCGTTGGACCCGGTTGAGGAGTCTTCTGACTCTGGTGGCCCTCCTGTTCAGTCCTCGCCGGCCGCCCCTCCCCTAGCTTCCCCTCCCCAGTCCCCCCCTCCACCGCCTCTGCCGCCGCTGCAGCCGTCGTTGTCGCTGCCGCCCCCGCCGCCGCCGCCGTCGTTGTCGCTGCCGCCGCCGCCGCCGCCGCCGCCGCCGCCGCCGCCGCCGTCGCAGCACCCGTTCGCTGACTCTGGGGGTGCTCGTCTCGGTCGCCCTGGAGGTGGTCCCTCTGGGGGTGCTGGTGTGGAGAGTGCCGGTGGTAGCCGAGGAGCAGCTTGCGGTCCCGGTGTCGCCGTTGTGCCGCCGCAGCAGCAGTCCCCGCCGGTGTCAGCCCTTCGCCTGCTCGGCCTTCCGTCCCCCGACCCTGCGTCGGTTCCTCCCCGGCCGTCTCCTCCTCTTCCTGTCTACGGCCCTGACTTCCCTCTGCCGGACTCGTCCCCGGCCCGTCTCCCCCCTCGTTCCCCTCCTGTGTCCCCTCCTCTGTCTCCTGACCCGACTCCTCCGTCGCACGTCTGGTCTCACCGTCCCTCCCGTGCTCGTCCTGCCTCGCCTGTCTTGCGCTCCCACCCTATGTTGCTTCGTTCCCACGCGTCTCGTCCTCCCCTTCTGCCGTCGCCTCCTCCATCCTCTCTTGTTGTTGCACCCCCCCCGCTGTCTGACTACCTTCGTGCCGCTCGTCCCCTTGTTCCTCGGGTCCTTGCCTCTCTCGTTACCGACCCGTCTGTTCCGACCTCGTGTCCTGACGCTCTTGTCGCTGCTGTCGCTGACTTCGCCTCTACCCGCCGCCTTGACTACGCCTCCGCCAGTTCGAGCTTGCTTTCCTCTCCGAGGCTGCTCCCCATCTCTGTTCCATGCTGCTAGTCCCTGAGGGTGACCCAGACGCTTTCGACATCCCGACCCCTCGCACTTCCGCTGAGGCGACTTCGGGACCCTGGGCCTCGCAGTGGATAGCTGCCATGGAGCAGGAGATGGCATCTTGGAGATCCACCGGCACCTTCGTCGACGCAGTTACCCCACCTAGGGTGAACGTAGTCGATGGCCGCTGGCTCTTCAAGGTGATGCGCTTTCCTGGAGAGCCGCCTGTCTTCAAGGCGCGCTATGTCGCTAGAGGCTTCAGTCAGCGCGAGGGGGTGGACTTCTTCCAGACCTTCGCTCCGACCCCGAAGATGACTACTCTTCGGGTTCTGTTACACCTAGCTGCTCAGCGTGACTACGAGCTTCACTCCCTCGACTTCTCCACTGCCTTCCTTCAGGGCAGCCTTCACGAGCAGGTCTACCTGCGGCGCCCTCAGGGCTTCACTGGCACCTTCCCTCCTGGGACCCAGTGGCTCCTGCGGCGCCCCGTCTACGGCCTGCGCCAGGCTCCCCGTGAGTGGCACGACACTCTCCGTGCTACGCTTGCTGACCTGCAGTTCTTCCCGTCTTCCGCAGACCCTTCACTCTTCGTTCGTGCTGGCCAGACTCCGTTCTACATCCTTGTTTACGTCGACGACCTGGTCTTTGCCACAACTGACAGGGACGCACTGGCCTCCGTGAAGGCAGAGCTGCTGAAGAGACACACGTGCACTGACCTTGGAGAACTGCGCCGCTACCTTGGCTTGCAGATCTCCAGGGACAGAGCATCGCGCACCATCACCCTGACTCAGTCACACTTGGTGCGCCAGGTCCTTCAGAGGTTCAGCCTTCAGTTCTCCTCTGCACAGCCCACCCCTCTGCCTGTAGACCACAGACTCTCCGCTCCAGTGTCTGAGGAGTTGGTAGAGCCTAGCGGCCCCTACGCAGAGCTGGTGGGTTGCCTCATGTACCTGATGACTTGCACTCGCCCAGATCTCGCATACCCTCTCAGCATCCTGGCTCGTTTTGTGGCCACAGGCAGGCACCGACCGCAGCACTGGTCTGCCGCTAAGAGGGTTCTGCGTTATCTTGCTAGTACATCGGGCATGGGGTTAGTGCTAAGAGGACGCAGGCCAGTGGTCCTTACTGGACACACAGACGCTTCGTGGGCAGACGACGCTGAGACACTCAGGTCTACCCAGGGCTACTGCTTCAGCCTTGGCTCAGGTGCCGTCTCGTGGAGAGCTACCCGCTCCTCGTCTGTTGCGCAGTCCAGCTGTGAGGCTGAGATCTACGCTGGTGCCATGGCGGCACAGGAGCTCCGCTGGCTGACCTTCTTGCTCACCGACTTAGGTGAGCGGCCTAGCTCTGCCCCGGTCCTGTTCGCTGACAACAGGGCCATGATCCTCCTGTATCAGGAGCCTCGACTCGAGGGCAGAGCAAAGCACATTCAGCTGCGGTACTTCCTCCTGCGTTAGCTACAGCAGCGACGTCAGGCTCGCGTAGTACACTTGGCCTCAGGTGCCAATACGGCTGATATCTTTACGAAGGCGCTTGCGCCTAAAGATCATCAGCGGCACTGTGTACAGCTTGGTCTAGTTCGTGTAGCCTCTCACTTGCTAGGACCTTGACTTTGTACTGTCCTTTATACGTATACTCAGACTGGACTTGTGTCCTCTCTCAGTGGCTGGACTAGTAGTGCCGCCCTGCTCTTGTTCTTGCCTTGTTTGTACTCCTTCTGACTGGTCTCTCAGACCCTTGTCTCAGAGGTTGGACTAGTAGTGCCGCCCTGAGCTGTTTGTTTAGGGCATTCCCCTATGCAGTCTAGGGGGTGTGTCAAACATGTGTATTTGTCATGTTTGTATAGACTGTATAGGGTCACCTCTTAGAGAGTACAACACTTAGGTATATCTGTGTGTACTCTCTATCTATGATCAACTTCTCAATTTTGTTATTATGTGTATTTTCTTAGAGAGTACAACTCCAAACCTATATTTCCCTTGTTCACCCTTGTTTCTAATGATTCTAGTATTCTAACACCTGGCATCAAGCAGGGTTGAGGGCCTAGGGCTGAGCAGGGTTGAGGGCTTAGGGCATGAATGCATCCTGTTGTATTTGGAAAATCAAGTTTAAATGACAGTGGAAAAAGAAATCGTGGGCAAAATTACCAAGCGGGGGCAGTCTTCTGGAGCCCTTAAAGAGGGTGCATGATTGCAGATTCTTCATTAGTATATCTTCCCCGGATATATCACCAGGGGGAGCTTAATTCCGGCGATATATTCGGGGGATTACGTCACTCGGCAAATATTCTCTATACAGACTCGTTTCTTCGTTCTTCCATAACACATAGATCCTTTCCATCATGTCCTTGTTATCCTACCAAAACTTGATCTGCAGACTTGTCTGATATACTGCCCTTAGTGGGCATTTTGTAGATCACAACTCAACATCCATCACAACTGAGTCCCCAGTCTCCAGATTACATAACCATGCCACCATCGATATTGACAACCTGAAACACACACATAACCCGATAGTGAACCACATTTGGTTATTTGATGGGTCAAACCTTAGCTAGAAACGCCCACTGCTGGAGACACAGGTGCAGGCAGTGAGATGAAACAAAGGGTTGGACGTGTGCCGAAGGAACGAACCTGTCCAGTGATGTAAGCCGCAGCTGGGTCTAGAGCAAGGAACTTGACCAGCCCTGCCACCTCGTCAGGCGTTCCCAAACGACCTGCATTGGAAGGCACAAGAATGCAGTCAGGCACAAAGAGGGGGCACTAAGAATGCAGTGCACAATCCCAAAAATGTGCATCAGCAGTAGCTACAACGTCTTGAGCAGCTAGGGAGTGCTTGCCTACCAGCGGGGATGCCAGCGAGAATCTTCTTTTCAATCTCGGGGCCCAGTTTTGCTGTCATGTCCGAAGCAATGAAGCCTGGCGCAATTGCGTTGGCCTGAGACATTAAGGGAAACACAGAGACAGGAAAGATGGGGGGGGGGAGGGGAGAGGAAGAAGGGGGGAGTGGTAGGAACAGGAAATGTGAATATCCTGTAGAAAACATGTGGGTGGCAGAGGTTACAAAATGGAAAGATATGTGACTCGGATGGCAGAGTGAGGGATGCATCGGGATCATGAGACACAGTTACTAGTGAGGACTAAAGGATGCAACTGATGGGAGGGGACAAGAGACAGACGACCAAGGAACAAACAAGCACCGACTTACGTTGATGTTACGGCCAGCATACTCGCGGGCAACAGTCTTCGTGAAGCCAATGACCTGCGAACAAAGGATAGCAAGTGAAGAGGGGAGAGTACGGGGTTTCAGGTTAACAAGAACGAAGGGTAGAAGGGCAACCGAAAAGCAAAGCGGAGCAAGACATGTGAGAGTGTCTGTTGTGCGGTTTGGGGGCGAGGTGCCGATGGTGGGTGCGGGGGAGGACCCCCGAAGAGGACAGAGGAGAAGGAGAAGCAGGGCATGTGGCGAAGAAACCACCAGGTACCAGGCACCAGGCACTCACACCAGCCTTGGAGGCGGCATAGTTGGCTTGGCCTGCGTTTCCAGTGACGCCCACAACGGACGCAATGTTGACGATGCGACCCTGGTCAAGGAAGAGAGCCGGAGGAAAAAGCAGAGCGCTATTGAGTTAAAGAATTTAGAGTCAGGGAGGGAAACTAGCGCGCGCCGGAAATCGCGAGTACTGCAACCTGTACAGGGAAACATCAATCTGCTTATGCGAGCTGCGAATCCAGCCGTTTTCGTGGCACCTCACTAGAATCATGACCGAGAACAGAACAAGCCCTCAGAAGCTCACTGGAGCCACGCAAGACACAAGGCGCAGCAATCGCCCTGACACGTGTTGTGACCAGAAGCACTTTGAACACGACTCAGGAAGTGAAGCTCTGGTTGGCCTGAAGGGAAAACCCGGGAGCTCTGAGGGGAGAAGCCGTGGCATACCTTCGGTTGGTCGCGTAACGTAACGTCAGGTCAGGCCTCGCGAGGCGTGGCGTGGCGTGGCGTGGCGTGGCGTGGAGTAGGCGTAGGCGTACCTTCCGGTTCTTCATCATGATCTTGATGGCGCCCTGCGTGCAGCGGAAGACGGACGTGAGGTTGATGTTGATCACGTCGTTCCACTGCTGCAGCTTCATACGCGTCAGAAGAGTGTCCTTCGTGATGCCTGCAGACGACACGGGGACCACGCAGCACGGGGAGGGGAGGGGACGGGGGAAAAAAGGCGAGAGAAGGACGGATGGGAATGGAACCAAGTGAGAAGTGGAATAGAAGAAGCACGTAGGCAGATGCGCGCGAGTGCGGAACACAAAGGTTTAGAACGCACGCCCAGAATGGGGGAAAGAGGGGGATGAGACGCGGGGTGCGAAGAGGGTTCAGGGGATAAAGCGCATTAGAACGTGGGTTGAATGAAACTCACCGGCGTTGTTGACGAGCACGTCAACAGTGCCCCACTTCTCCAGAATCTGTTTGAAACGAGGCCAGGTGGAAAGGTGCGGGAAGAATGAACGACGGAGAAAAGCTATCAAGGAAAACACGAGGGCAAAAACGAGAGTGACTGGATGAGTTAAAGAGGGGTGCGATGAGTGAGACGGTCGAGTACACAAAACAGGGGAAGGAGGAGCTCCGAGAGGTGACGAGCCACACAGAGTCGAGCGAGTGAGAGCGACCGACGGACCGAGTGATTGACTGACTGACCGCTTTGTACATGGCGTCGATCTCCTCGTCGCTGGTGACGTCAGCATTGAAGAGGAAGGCGGAGCCTCCAGCAGCCTCGATCTGAGAGACGGGGAGGGAAGACGAGACGAGAACGAGACGCGCATGTGAGATGAAACTCCCGCCGGAGCTGAACGGAGAGGAATCGGCAGAAACGAGGTAAAAGCGGATCACGAAGGCGAGAACGACGGTGAGTAACAAAAGACGGACGGGAAAGGATGGATCAAGTGAGTATCGAAGACAAGCCGGGAGATTTCATGGTATAGTGAGAGATGAGACAAAGGCCGTGCGTTCGTCGCCTGTTAGACGCACCTCTGCGGCGAGCTCTTCAGCTGGCTCTGGGCTAAGGATGTAGTTAACCACGACCTGTAGCGTCCCACAGAGCAGGGGAGGAGGAATAAGAAGGTGTAAATGCCGAAGAGAGGACGAAGAAGACTGTGCTGGATGACGATAACGAGACCGGGAAATGATACTAGCTGGCGATTACACGCGACGGTCTTACCCTGCAACCAGCCTTGCCGAAAGCAAGGGCGATAGCCCGGCCGATACCGCGAGAGGCGCCAGTAACAACGCACACAGGAGCGTCTGCTGCTGCCTCAGCACGCGCGGAGAGAGCTGCAGGGAGGGAACAAAGACATGCGCGAATAACATATACTTGATATCGTGACGTTCACAAACTATTCCAAAAAAACGGAGAAAGTTGCTTTGCCTTGACTCTCCCTCTAGTGACATTAGATAATGATTGTATGGTCAGAAAAACTCATAAGGCCTCAATAGTGATTCTCATGGCTGGCTTAGTGAGACGGGAGAGACAGTACCGCGAGACGATGGCTTCTGGCTGACGCTCGTCTTCGGCGCGAAGGATGAGACGTTAGAGAAGGCAGCGACGGAGGAGATCTTGGCCGAGGAGCCGGCGGAGACTGCGGAGCAAGCGAGCGGGACCGCCTTAACAGCGGCCCTGGCGGAAACCGCACCACTGGTGCAGCTCCTGACGGCGGCAACAGCAGCCATGGCGGTTGTGCAGGTAGCAGCAGCCATTTTCTCTGGAAACGGCGGATGGAAGAGTAGAGATGTGAAGAGCAGACTGTGGGCTCTCCCTAGCTTGGGCTGGTCAGCACTTGGACAAGCGAAGGGAGCAATGTGAGAAGAAGAAATGTGGGAAGAGGAGGTGCAGAAATAGATTTCAGCTGGTCGGATCTAGATAGGTGTTGATCAGGCACGAGGAGTGGAGGGGGAGGGGGAGAGGGGAGTCAGATGGCATTGAATCTGCCTAGGGATCAGATGGCGATTTTGACGAAGAGTTGGAAACCGCTGTCGCGAAACCTTTCTCGACCGATCCGCTGTTGACAAGCGCGCAAGCGAGAATTGATCGCCTCCTTGGGATGTTCGTGCGCATCGTGAGCCTTTCGCCAGCACCCTGAGGCGAATTCATCTGAAAGCGACTTCCGGAACACTTGAAAGGAGGAGGAAGATTCGGCGGGTTTTACGTGGCGGGAAGGGAGTTGTGAAGGCCACATGTCATGCTGATCTGGCTGGCTTATCTGGACTAAAATCTTTCCATCGATCGAAATTGTTCCATCTGATTGAAATTGCGGTTTGGAGGTTACAGCCCCTCCCATTCATAAATGTTTTGGGTCACATCCAACTCCCCAGGTGGAAAGCCGTGACGGAAATTCCCACACCCCAGGTGTCTGACATTTCCGCTGTCCCTGCTGTCAAATGGCCGATTTTGAACCACCCGCCAGTCGGGAAACTTCATAATCTCGGGGTTTGCAACTCCTCTCCTCCTTGGTTGGTTCCTGCGCATGACGGGATTATAAGTTGGAGTGCTTGTGTGGCACAAGATCGTTCGACCTGATCAGTGATTACCTCCAAACCAATCAACGAAACAGATGCCAACAAGGAGCAAATCAAGAGGGGCAAGGCGGACCCCCTGCACACTCCAGACAAACATGTAATACCAGCTGATGGGTGGAACATGTGACCTTATGAAGAATTGTGGCAACGGAGAATAAAATCGCATAGGCTGTGACTTATAGTTTGGTAGTTGCATACGTTCATCAACTTGCTTCCTATGACAGTGTTTTCTGTGAATTTGTGCTAACATAAAAACAGGTGAAAGATGTTATGAATGGAACTTCCGAGTAGCACGGAGGGCAATGGTGAGACTATGAGCGAGTGAATGAAAAAAAAAAAAGATAACACAATAAATAGGAAACATGGGGTGATCCCGGACGTAGGATCAGAAGGTACGAGAAAAGTATCGAAAGGCCACGATGTGTCGAAGAAAGGTCCAGAAAGGCCCAGGAGGCTCGAGCTGAATGGTCTGGAACCCTATCGCTGGTTCGGGACTGTTCGAGTCGTACGCCCTGTAGCAAGCCTCAGTAAAGAATTCCTAATTCCTTACACGCTCCCTCTCAAATGTAACTTAGGTCGTTACTATAGACTATACTGGATTGTGCCTTAGAGGGTACAACACCCTAGTCTATATACCCTTGTACTCACACATTCTAGTTCAATTATTCTTTCTGATATGGTATCATAGTAGGTTAGGTTCCCCTCCTAGCCCGCCCACGCTTCCGCCCCCTAGGTCCTAGCCACCGTCGTGCCCCGCTCATAGCCGGACTCTTCACACTGGACACGATGACCCCCCCGGCTGGGACCCCCCCTCAGGTGACTGCGTCTCCCCCGGTTGTTGCTGCCTGCTCCTGTCGGTTTCTCACTCACCCGACTCTTCTCTGGCACCACCGCCTAGGTCACACTGTGCTCCCGCGTCTGCGTCACATGTCACAGCACGGTCTCGTCCTAGGCCTCCCCGGGTCGTTCCCCGAGTTTCCCTCCTCCCCAGCCCCACCGTGCACGCCCTGTGTCGAGGGCCGGCTCCGCCGTGCCCCTCACTCCTCCTCATTTCCCCCTACTGCAGCACCGCTACAGACTCTGCACATGGACGTCTGGGGCTCCGCCCCCGTCCATGGGCCGCGTCGAGAGCGCTACTTCTTAGTGCTTGTCGATTACTACACGCGCTACACCACTGTGTTCCCCCTGGAGCGGAAGGCCGACATGCCTGACGTTCTTATCCTGTGGCTTGTCTCTGCGTGTGTCCACCGCGGTCTCCCTGTCTTGCGCCTCCACTCCGACCGTGGTGGCGAGTTTGCCTCTGGTGTCCTCTGCCGTTTCTGTCGTGCGGAGGGCATCACCAAAAAGTTCACCTTGCCGGACTCCCCGCAGCAGAATGGGATCGCTGAGCGACGCATCAGTTTGGTCATGGAGGTGGCTCGCACCTCCATGACTCATGCCGGGGCACCCCATTTTCAGTGGCCGTTCTCCGTTCGCTACGCCACTCACCAGCTTAACCTGTGGCCGCACCCCCAGCAGCCTCAGGTTTCGCCGACCCTCCTCTAGTCTGGATCACCTGGTGACGCGTCTGGGGCTGCCTTGCTCACGTTCGTGCCTCTGGCACGGACAAGCTCACTGCCCGCACCCTTCCTTGTGTCTTCCTTGATTTTCCCCTTGACGCATCTGACTGGCACTTCTACCATCCGCCGTCTCACCGGTTCTTTCACTCCCGTGACGTCACCTTTGACGAGTCCGTCTCCTTCTTCCACGGCTTCCCCCACCGAGGTTCCCCGGTTACCCCCCCTGTTCTTGGTCACCCCTCCCCCTCCCCGTCCTGCCCCCTCTGGTGGGTCCCATGTCACCCCACTTACGTCGGTTGTCCCGGTTGAGGAGTCGGCTGACTCTGGTGGTCCTGCGGCGCAGTCCTCGCCGCTTGCCCCTTCTGAGGTGTTTCCTCCTCCGCCGCCTCCGCAGCCACCGTCGCCATCGCTGTCGCAGGCGTCGTCACCGCCGCCGCCGCCGCAGCCGTCGTTGCAGCCGCCGCCGCCGCCGCCGCCGCCGCCGCCGCCGCCGCATTCGTCGCCGCAGCCGTTCGTTGCCTCTTGGGGTGCTGGAGTTGGGGTGGGTACTAGTCATGGGACTCCTGTCGTGGCTTGTCCCGGCAGGCCTGAGGGTGGTACCGGTGCTCGAGGGGTTCTGAGCTCTGGGGGTGTTCCTTCTGGGGGTGCTGGCGTGGAGTGTTCTGGAGGTAGCCGCCAGGCAGCTTGCGGTCCCGGCGTCGGTGTCGCACCGCTGCCGCAGCAGTCCCCGCCGGTGTCCGCTCTTCGTGTGCTCGGCCTTCCGTCCCCAGACCCCGTGCCTGTACCTCCTCCTCCTCTTGTCTACGGCCCTGTGTTCCCTCCTTCGGACTCGTCTCCGGCCCGTTTCCCCCCTCGTTCCCCTCTTGTGTCCCCTCCTCTATCCCCTGACCCAACTCCTCCGGCTCACGTCTGGTCTCACCGTCCCTCCCGTGCTCGACCTGTCTCCCCTGTCTCGCGTTCTCACCCTATATTGCTTCGTTCCCACGCGTCTCGTCGTCCCCTTCTCCCGTCGCCCCCTCCGTCCTCCCTTGTCGTTGCTCCCCCCCCCTCTGTCTGACTACCTGCGTGCCGCTCGTCCTCTTGTTCCTCGGGTCCTTGCCTCTCTCGTTACGGACCCGTCTGTTTCGGTTTCGAGCCTTGACGCCCTTGTTGCTGCGGTCGTTGACTTTGCCTCTACCTGCTGCCTTGACTACGCCACCGCTTTGGTCTCTCACCCTGCCTGTCCTCCGTCTGTCGGGGGTGCTCCTGCCCTCGGCAGTGGCGTCTTGGAGGACCGCCAGTACGAGCTTGCTTTCCTGTCCGAGGCTGCTCCCCATCTCTGCTCTATGCTTCTAGTCCCTGAAGGTGACCCCGACGGTCTCGACATCCCGACCCTTCGCACTTATGCTGAGGCGGTCTCGGGACCCTGGGCCTCTTAGTGGATAGCTGCCATGGAGCAGGAGATGGCATCTTGGAGATCCACCGGCACCTACGCCGACGCAGTTCCCCCACCTGGGGTGAACGTAGTCGATGGCCGCTGGCTCTTCAAGGTGAAGCGCCCTCCTGGAGAGCCGCATGTGTTCAAGGCGCGCTATCTGGCTAGAGTTTTCAGTCAGCGTCAGGGGGTGGACTTCTTCCAGACCTTCGCTCCGACCCCGAAGATGACTACTCTTCGGGTGCTACTACACGTAGCAGCTCAGCGTGACTACGAGCTTCACTCCCTCGACTTCTCCACTGCGCTTCTTCAGGGCAGTCTTCACGAGCAGGTCTACATGTGCCGCCCTCAGGGCTTCACTAGTACCTTCCCTCCTGGGACCCAGTGGCTCCTGCGGCGCCCCGTCTACGGCCTGCGGCAGGCTCCCCGTGAGTGGCACGACACGCTACGTGCTACGCTTGCTGACCAGCAGTTCTTTCCGTCCTCTGCAGACCCCTCGCTTTTCGTTCGTGCTGGCCAAACCCCGTTCTACATCCTTGTTTACGTAGACGACCTGGTCTTCGCCACTGCAGACAGGGACGCACTGGCCTCCGTGAAGGCAGAGCTGCTGAAGAGACACACCTGCACTGACCTTGGAGAACTGCGCCACTACCTTGGCTTGCAGATCTCCAAAGACAGAGCAGCGCGCACCATCACTTTGACTCAGGCACACTTGGTGCGCCAGGTCCTTCAGAGGTTCGGCCTTCAGTTCTCCTCCGCACAGCCTACTCCTCTGCCTCTAGACCACAGGCTCTCGCTCCAGTTCCTGAGGAGTCAGCAGAGCCCAGTGGTCTTTACGCAGAGCTGGTGGGTTGCCTCATGTACCTGATGACTTGCACTCGCCCAGATCTCGCATACCCTCTCAGCATCTTGGCTCGCTTTGTGGCTACAGGCAGACACCGACCTCAGCACGGGTCTGCTGCTAAGAGGGTTTTGCGTTATCTTGCAAGTACATCGGGCATGGGGTTAGTGCTAGGAGGACACAGGCCAGTGGTCCTTACTAGACACACAGACGCTTCTTGGGCAGACGACGCCGAGACCCTCAGGTCCTCGCAGGGCAACTGCTTCAGCATTGGTTCAGGTGCCGTCTCATGGAGAGCTACCCGCTCCTCGTCTGTTGCCCAGTCCAGCTGTGAGGCCGAGATCTAGGCGGGTGCCATGGCGGCACAGGAGCTCCGCTGGCTGACCTTCTTGTTCACTGACTTAGGTGAGTGGCCTAGCTCTGCCCCGGTCCTGTACGCTGACAACTGGGCCATGATCCTCCTGTGTCAGGAGCCTCGACTCAAGGGCAGAGCGAAGCACATCCA